CTAAAATCTATCTATCTATCTATCTATCTATCTATCTATCTATCTATCTATCTATCTATCTATCTATCTATCCTCCCACCCATCCATCCATATCTATCCATCTATCTATCTACCCACCTACGCACACAGAGAATGAAAGAGAGCAGCTTTATCCAGCGACCTTTAAGAGAGAGAGAGTCTAAGCTTTAGAAGTGGAGCTCCTCGTTGAAGTAACGCGAGCTGCGTTTGGCCGTGCGCGCAGTAAAGGGGGCAGCCTTCAGCACTGCATCCAGACGAAACACACACACACACACACACACACAAACACACACAGGGTTTAACTGCCAGAGCAACAAGCACAATGTTAGCACTTTCTACACACAACAGCACACACTAATAATCACATGGTACTATAGCAGCTATTAAATTAAGCTGAAACTAGCTATTTCAATATGGATTATTACATACACTCCTAAAATAGTAATGCAGCTGTCAAGAGAATTACACAAAAGGTATAAAAATACTTTTATACTACATAATATTATCTAATTCTGTTCTCTTAAATACTGTAGGCTCATTACAGAGATTGTTTGTCATGGTTAGAATTTAAATTAAATTCTATAAAGGGGTCATATCATCGAATTCACAGTTACATTTCACAGTTACATGTCATTTCTATTTTATTTTATAAATAATCTGGTTTTGAAATAATCCTTTAGTCCACAGTGAAGAAAGCTTTCATTTAAATGATCTATCTATCTATCTACCCATCCGTCCGTCCGTCCGTCCGTCTATCCATCCATCCATCCATCCATCCACCCACCCATCCATATCTATCTATCTATCTATCTATCTATCTATCTATCTATCTATCTATCTATCTATCTATCTATCCTCCCACCCATCCATCCATATCTATCCATCTATCTATCTACCCACCTACGCACCCACCTATCTATCTATCTATCTATCTATCTATCTATCTATCTATCTATCTATCTATCTATCTATCTATCTACCC